GGGGGGGGGGTGGGAGGCTGGAAAACTGAAAATTCGCAATAGAGCGAGTTTGTCAGAATTTCGAACAGGGGGCGTGAAAAAAGTGAAACGGAGATCTCAGATGGAATGTAAAGAGGGCGGGGTCTAATTTGGCATTTTTCGGGGGTATTTCTAGTAGTAAAGGGATTATATGGACCTTTTTTGGGAAGCAAAAAGAGAATAAGAGAAAGTCAATTTATTTTCCGAATGGGAAGAATCCCTTGACAGTCTCAAAGGCTCCGGTTGCCATGGTTTTGGCCTTCTCGACTTGCTCAGTGAGCCCGAGTTGTCCGATGATCGAGTCATCCTCGGCGTTCATCTCGGCAGCGATCTCTTCTGGGGTCTTGCGAGGTCCTGGAAATGGAAGAGTTTTTGGGTGGCCTAGGAAACCGATTTCCAATTCAAAAACTTCAAAAAAGTGGTTTTTGAGCCGAGTCAGGGGTCAGTGCAGCTAGGCGAGCTTAGGAACCCCGCCTGGAGGCAGTTGAAAATTTAAGGTAGACATTTTTTATATAATTTTGAAAATAATTTTTAAAACTACGTTTTACAAATTACAACATCAAAAAATGTTGAGTTTGAAGCTGTCTACAAGCATTTGAAGACATTATGTCGGCGCTAGAGGGGTCCTTCCCCGCGTGGACCAATGCTTCGTGACCTTTTTCAATGGGGATATTGAAATGTTTATACTATCTTGTAGCGCTATACAAAAGCTACATCATATAATTTGAATTTTCCAGAAATATTGAGTTTGGAGAAAGTTACATCATAAAAAAAAAGTTGCGTCATAAACATTGATGTCGGCTGGGAAGAAGCTCACAAGAATCTTCAACACGCTGACTTATTCTCCGTGAACTTCTTCAAATTGAATGTGACATAATTTATTTAGTTTTGTAGAACTACTCAAGAGCTATGTCTTGCAGTTTTACCCATTCAAAAATATTTAGTTTGAAGCTACTTACAAGCATTCCAAGATAGAACGAACCTTAGCGCCGTGCTAGCGATTATGCGCTTTCCATCTAACCAAAAATTAAATGTATTTTTTGCCAACTTACAGCTTTTATTATGAGCTTCATGATACAATTTGAATCTTCTAAAAATAATAAGTTTGTAGCTAGCTACAAGCATTCCAAGATAGGATATCCGCGCCGAAGAGAACGTTCCCCGTGCGGACCTATTTCCCGCCATTTCTAATAAGCCAAAACAAATGTGTTTTATATCAATTTATAGCGCTTTTCAAGATCTATATTTTACAGTTTTATCTATTTGAAAATATTTTGTTTCAAGCTAGTTACAAGCATTCTACGCTAGAACGCCCCTAGGAGTAGCGTACAGTGAACCTTTGCGCCGTGCTAGAGATTTTGCGCTTTCCTTCTAAGCAAAAACTAAACGCATTTTATACCAATTTGTAGCGTTTTTTAAGAGCAAAATTTTACAATTTAGATCTTAAAAATATATTAACTCTAACCCAAGTTATACTCAAATCAAAAACCCATACCTCCAATGCGTCCCTCGGTGAAATCCATGGCAACGCCCTCCTCCTTCTTCTTGATAGCATACTTGTCACGAATACCCTGTCGCATTTTCTCTCTCTCCTGCTCCATCTTCCGATGCTTCTCCTTTCTTCTCTCCTCTTGCTCCAGACGAGCCGCGACGACTTCTGGATCCTCTCCAGTTTCAGTCTTCTCACCACCGTCATCCTTGAGTCCGAGACCGCCGGTGACCTCGTTCAGTTGGTTACCAACCATTTGTTTCATCAAGAAACCAGCCATGATTGAATGAGAAGAGAGAAGGTTCTGAAATCCAACATTTTGAAATCCAGAAGTTTCGAAAAAAATTCAAAATGTTGAAGCAAGAAATGTGATACATCTACATGGAAAACGAAATTCAATAGCCACTTCTTTACCCAAAAAGCTACGCGGTCATGAGTTTGGCTGAGCAATGTGAAAAGAAAAAATATGAGGAGAGAATAACACCTTCTTTTTCTCAGTTTCTGAGAAGGCTGAGCCTTGATTAAGTGGGCGGGGCTTAGGAGGAAAAAGAAAAAAGAAGAGGAGAAAAAGTGTGAGTCAGTTATGTTCTAACGATTTCCGGGATGAAAGGGAAAGAAAAGAAAAAAAGAAAAAAAGAAAAAGGAAAGAAGAAGAGGTGAAAATGGAAAACAAAGGAAAATAACAACATGTGAACGTTCATTAGGTATGTAGATCTGGTTGTCCGGATGTCCAATTAAGAAAACAAATCCTAAGAAACGTTTTCAAAAGGCTAAAACCAAAGAAGTTCTGTTGCCGGACTCGAACCCGCGATGCGCGGGCAAAAGTCTAGTGCGCTATCCCCTACACCATGGCGACACTGTCACTGTGGAGGTGTTGGCGTATAGAATGCGCGGCTTCTCATGAAAAGCGCGTGCCAAAAGCTTCATGTTGCATACACCATCACCACCATTTCTAATAATGTCTCGCCGTGGTGTAGAGGCTAGCGCACCCGGCTTTTGCCCGCACGTCGAGGGTTCGATTCCTCCTAGAGAGCTTTTTTGTTTTCGCATTTTTTTAAAACGTTTTCTAGTCCATCAAAGAGTCTCTGAATACATCAAAAACAGAGAAAAAAATCTCAGAGATGTCAAGAAAGAAGTCATCCTTCTTCTTCTTCTTCCTCTCTCAAAAGAAGAAGAAGAAGAAGACGTTGTTTTTCCCTTTTTTTCGGAAATTCGAGTTTTGTCATTCCCGAAAAAAAGAGGGTTCCCATCCCACAGAAAAAAATGGGAAAATGAAAAAAAAAGAGAAAAAATTGAATAAAGCCTCCAGGCACAGCTGGAGACTCCATCGTTTATTTTATTTGATTCTTGTGAATGGGAAAGGGAAAGTGGGCGGAGCCTATGAAAGTGCGCTCTACCGTAATCCAGGGAAGGCTTGAGAGGTACTTGAACGGGTCCATGGTTTTTTTATGAGAAAAAAATGATGAAGTGGTTTTTTTGTTGGGGTTCTCAAAAGAGCGAATTCGGAGAAAATTGGGAATGAATTAAAATTTTTGGATTTCAGATTTTAGGAATTTTTTGGAATTACGGATTTTCTGAATTTCGGAATTTTAGGATTCTATTAGTTTTTTGGAATGTTTGATTTTAGGTTTTTTTTAGATTTCAGATTCCTAGAATCTTCGGTAAGTTAAGATTTTAGGTCTTTCTTTGTGAAATTTCATATTTTAGGATCATCCGAACTTCTGAATTTCAGATTTTTAGAAAATTCAAACTTTAGTTTTTCTGAATTTCCTTGAATTTCAGGGTTCAAAATTATAAGTTTCTCGGGAATTTCAGGTTTTCCAAATTTCGCAAATTTCAGATGTTTTAATTTTTGGGGTTTAAGACATTCTGGATTTTTCAAATTTTGGATTTTATAAACTTTGAGATTCTCGAAATCTCGGAATTTCTAAATTTTCTGGAATTTCTGAATTTCCGAGTTTTCTGGATTTTCGGATTTTTGGAATTTCTGATTTTAGGATATTCTGAAATTTCCAATTTTCGAATTTTCGCAATTTTTACAATTCCAATTTTTGAATTTTTAGAAGCTTCTGGAATTTCTGGGAACCAAAAATCTTAAAATCCAAAAAAAAAACCAAAAAAATTGCTCAAGAGGCTCAAACAAAGTACCCTATTCTGCTCTCTTTTTGGCAAAATGAGCGAGAAAAAAAATCAAAAGAAGACGTCGACGTCTTCTTCAAAGAGCTTATTCACACACAAAAAAAAGGGGAGGTGCCGCGCGAAGAATGAGCAAAACCGGGCTCTTCTAACTTTTCTCTAACCGCACTCCTCGTTTCCCACACTCTCTCGCTTTTCGAGTCTCGAGGGAAACAGAATCGATTCCCTCGTGCGCGCCAACGACGTCTTCTTCTTTTTCTATTTTTTTTTGCTGCTCAATTTTTTGCGCGGCGCAAAACAAGTCATGCGCTCTTTTCTGCTCTTCTGAAGCAGAAGAAGAGGGGATTCAGAAGACGTGCGAATACCCAAAAAGAAGAAAAAAGAGAAAAAAAAGAAAATTGGGGAAGAAGAAAAAGGGAATAGAAAAGTATAGGGAAACTATAAAAAATGGGAAAAGGGAGTTTGGATGGATGGGAAAAAGGGAAAAAAGAAAAGTGTTCGAAAAAAATTTTGGAAAACCCAAAATCTGGAAACCGGAAGTTTTTTAAACTCATCTAAAAAATTCTAAAAGCGCGCATATTGTATACGCCAACACCACCTTTCCTCATTTGTGTGCAAGTAGTGTAGTGGCTAGCGGGCCAGTCTTTTGATCGCGAGTCGCGGGTTCGAGTCCGGCCAGCGGAAGACTTTTATGTTTGCCTTTTCAAACTGTTTTTAGATTATTAAGAAGTTTCTGAATAAATAAAAACTTTTGGAAGCGTTTGAACAAATTTTTTAAAATTCTTATTTTTTGTAAATTCCGAATTTTTGAAAAAAAAATCTTTGCAATTTTTTTTAATTCGAATAAAATTGAGAAATTTCATTGTTCCAGCTCAAAACCTTAAAATTCCACTAGTGAAATTTGCCTTCTTTCCTTTCAAAAATTCCACTTATCCCCTCAAAAACAATGATTTTCGAAAATCCGCCAAAATTTCCCTCCTCGCTAAACAACGCGCAACAACGACGCTCCGCATATCCCTTTAATTTTTTAGCGATTTCTCTCTTTTTTCGGTCATGTTCCACCGATTTTTTTCGTTTTTTCACAGAAAAAATTTTCAGAAATGGGTCTTCTAGACGACATCTCCAAACTAACACAACCGGCCGCCGAGTTGCCCGATGTGGAGGATGATTTTGATGGTTAGAATTATTTTTCGAAAAAATTTTCTAAACAAATATTTTTCAGCTTCATCCCTAGTGAAACCAACTGGAAATCGCGCGAAGAACAAACTTCAAAATTTCAATTTCGACGAGGGAAAGTACGCGGGTGTCGCCGTTTCGAGCAAAGACATTTTCGGAGACGTCTCGGAGATTTCGGGATTGAAGGCGAAGGATTCTGAGTCGGAAGATGATCTAGACGATGAAGCGGAAGATGAAGAAGACTTTGAGGAGGAGAGTGACGTGGAAATGGAAGAGGACGTTGGAGAAAAGAAGAAGAAATCGAATATTCTAGAGAATCTGGCGGATTCTGACGAGGACGAAGAGATGAACGATGAGGAAGAAGAAGATGGGGATTCAGGAGACGACGAGAAAGAAGAAGAGGATGATGGCGACGAGGAGGAGGGAGCAAATCTGAAAATGACGACTCTCTCACTGAGAGACGACTCGGATAAAACTGAAAAGGGTGAGTTTGAGCTTTCGAAGCTCAAATTTGTGTTGTTTTTGATGGAATATCGTTGTAAAAGTGCAATTTTTCAGTGTCTGAAGGCTAATTTAGGCCTAGAAATCCTCATTTTCCGGTCTTTTCAGCCACCAGCGTCCTCCATCAACGCCAAGTTTGGGACGATCTCTCCTACTCGAACATCCGCATCCACGCGCTTCTCAACGCAATGAATCAAATGCCACGTGGCGATGCTCGGCGGGAGCTGGTGAAAAATTGTGATCCCTCGACACAAAAATCCATGGAGGCTGCAATGGAAAATATGGCGAAGCTGAGAGATTTGATGGCAAAAGCCGGAGGGTTTTTCGAGGAAAAATCGGGGAAAACTGAGGATTCTGATGATGAAGAGATTCCAAGTGACGACGAGGAGATTTTGAGCGATTCTGAAGGCCTGGACGATGAGGAGGAGGAGGAAGAAGATGAAGCACCAAAAAAGAAGGCTGAAAATCAAGGAACAAGTCTGAAATCGCTCAAGAAGAATCTAGAAACGCTGGACGGCTCGATCGATAAATTTCGTGCGGCGACGCTCACAAAATGGTACAATCGGACCAAAGTTTTGAGCTCAAAGTCTATGAATAACGCGGATTTTTCGGTTTTCGAAAAGGGAAGCATTTTGGGACAGATTAATAAGGTAAGATTTAATGACTGGAACTTTGGGGAATTTAAGGGTAAAATCCGCAGATTTCGAGCTAAAAATTACTTCATATTCCAAAAATACCCTAAACGTTAGCCGAAAACATCCTGAAATTGGTCCGAAAATAACCAAAGTTTGGCCAAAAAATCCCCAAAATTAGCTGAAAATACCCTCAAAACGAGCGAAGAATACCGTTGAAATTGGCTAAAAAACCATAAAAATTAGTTGAAAATATCCCAATCTTCACCTAAAAATACTAAAAAACTGGTCCAAAATCCCAAAAATTCGCAAAAAATACCGCAAAATTAGCTGAGAATACCGCTAATTTGATCCGAAAAAAAAGGAAAATTGAATAAAAATACACAAAAAAAATGTTGAGGTTTTTGGTCGAGCTTAAAACGACTGGAAATGGCTTTTTCAGAGTCATTTACTTATGAAAAACAGCCAAGATTCTCTAAAAAATCAATTTTTGAGGTCCACACAAAAATAAAAAATGTTTTAATGTTGTGAGCCGTAAATTTTGGTGGCAAAACCCTCTGAGCCAGCTAGGGCATTTTTAGATACGGTCATTTTCTGATGGTTTTTGAAGTTTTAAAGGGTGTTCTTAGAACCAAAAAAATATATTTAAAAAAGACAAAACGAAGCCAATTATCCAGTTAATTACCCTAATCATCTCAGGTGCTCGCCGATGAGGACAAGCTTCTCAAAAAAGTGCACACGAATCGAAGTGGAAAGACGCGTCTAGGCGCCTCCGCCTCTTCGGATTCCCACGATCCCGAGATTTTCGACGATTCCGACTTCTATCAAGTACTTCTGAAGCAGATGCTCGAAGCAAGGAGTCAGATGAATCAGAATTCTCAAGATGGCGCGGACATGACAAGAAACTACATGGAGCTGCAATCAATGATTAGCAATAAGAAGAAACGAGATGTTAGTCAGTTGTCATCGAAGGATCGTAAGCTGAAGTACGAGCCGATTGCTAAGCTAATCAACTTCTATCCATCGAAGCCGTCGGTTGCCACGTGGAGTCATGAGAGCCGGAATGAGCTCTTCAAATCGTTGTTTTCCTAGAGAAATATTTATACTGTTGATTTTAATTTTTCTTTTCCCTAAAATCATTGTTTTCGTTATTTCCCCCATTAATTGTTATCCACTTTTTGTTAAGTGAAATTTTTGATTTTTTGAATTTTTCAAACCTGACAAATACGCTGCTACTGCCAACACCCACCTGAAATTGGCAATAGAGCGCGTTTTCAGAGTCTCTAGCTTTAAAAAAAACCAGTGAAAGCAATTAGAATATTATATAGGAAAAAACAGTCGAATCGAGGAAAAAATAGCTGAAGAAACAGTGAAAAATGCCCGTAAAAAGTCGAATTTTCGGTGTATGTGGGATGGGTTTGGGAGATGTTTTTAGGGGAGAAATCGGGGGAAATTTTGAAATTTCCCAAGAAAAAAAAAGAAGAGAATCACAGAGAGAATTCAAATATAAAGCAGGTGGGAAAATCGGTGCGGAAAAATCGATATTTCATGGAGCGATCCGGTCGCGCCAAACGTAATTGCACACCTCGCCGTTGAGCTTTTTCGTGCAAGTCGGCCAGAAAATGCAGCTGTCCGGGTCCGAGTAGCAAATGAGGGCCAGTGCGATGAAGAAGATTCCAGAGCAAATGTGACAGGGTCTGAAATAGGGAATTTCGCTTTTTCTGCACGAAAATTGCTGAAAAATGAGCCAAAATTCAATTTTTTGGGAATTTTTTTTAATTTTTATGTTTGGAAAAATTCAAAATTTTAAGAAAAAGAAGGTTCCAGAGCCAACATTTTTTGTTTTTTTGTGCTCAAAAATCGGTGAAAAATGACCCAAAATTCAATTTTTCGGGAAAAAAATTCAAAACAAAACTTTTTTTTGAAATTTTTTTTCAAATTTCCCGCCAAAATGCACACTTACCGCCTCTCTAGGAAGAATCCGACGATATAAAACCACATAAAAAGCGCTTGCTCAACGAGAAATATCGGATGGATCCAGTGTTTGGGAATCAGGAGCACTGGTATCAGCCACTGCAGACAATACATTCTGGCTAAAAATATTTTTAATTAGTTAATTTATCGATAATTATCGCAAAAATTCGCGAAAAAACGGCTGAAAAACGATAAAAATTGCGATAATTCCCCCGAGAATCAATCGGGGCAAAATAGAAATGTGTGCAACTGTGCGTCTCGGTGTTAGCACATCATACAGCATAGCTGACGACATGTTGGCCAGCACGAATACATCTGAAATTGCAGAGGTTTTTCCAAACGAATTTCAAACCGATTTTTGATTTTCAAGTTGTTAAAAGATTGCTCAAATATCGATTGTTTTAGTTTTCAGCACAAAATTTGAAGAGGATATAAGGAAAATACGGAAAAAATGGCTAAGAAAAACTTACATTTTGACATTTTTTTAGCTAATTGTTGTCTTGAAATTCCGGATTTCCCCCCAATTTTAACCAAATTTTCGTTGTATTTCAAGCTTTTTTAAAGTAAAAATTTTGAAAAAAAAGTGTTTCCAGGTGAATTATGCTGACCGCATTGGAGAAGAGATATGAAAAGGCGAGATTTGGAAGTTTGTTTCCAGATATCATTGATGAAAATATGCTAATCGATTCGTTTGAGTGTTGTGATACACTTGAAGTGAGTAAAAAATCCTACAATTTTTTTAAATCCGAAAGTTCCTAAAATTCCAAAAATCCTAAAAATCAAAATTTCGAAAATCCTAAAGTTCTAGAAATCTTAAAATCCTAAATTCTTCCAGGGCCACACCGGGTGTGTAAACACGCTCCGTTGGAATCGAAACGGCCAACTTCTGGCATCTGGATCCGACGATCGTCATGTGAAAATCTGGAGAGCCGGATTGGAAGTCGAATCTCTAGCCACTGGACACGTTGGAAATGTGTTTGCAGTCGAATTTCTTCCAGGATCATCGGATAGAAAATTGGTGACCGGAGCCGCGGATCATATAGTTTTTCTTCATGATTTGGAAGTGAAAAATGGGGGAAAACGACGATGGGAGCTGGAGGGAAGAGTCAAAAGGCTATGTACACTGGAACAGGAATCTACTCTTTGGTGGGCCGCGGTCGAGGCCGTTGAGGGTGTACAGTAGGTTTTTTTTCCATTTTTCGGAATATTTGGATTTTTGAATTTCTGGATCCTGAGATCCTTAAAAATTGGAAAGTGTAGATTACTGTAGCTCTTGTCACTGGCGAATCGCTTATAGATTTATCTAGATTACGGTGAATTGGATTGCTGTAGTTTGAAGCAACGATGGATTACTGTAGCTGCGGTTTCCTTTAATTGGATTACTGTAGCAAATTGTATGAATACGGTAGCTCTGAAGACATCAGACCTTAGCATGCAATTTTTTGGGTTTTGGATTTTTAGAAATTTTCGGATTTTAGATTTTTCGGATTTTTAGAATTTTTGGATTTTAGGATTTTAGGATTTTTAGGTTTTTTAGAATCTTAGAATTACTGTATTTTGAAGCAACAATGGGTTAC